ATACACAATCAGGAATGTTGTAATGATACCAATATAAGTACTATGCATATCTTTTATGTAAATAAGTCACCAGAAGGCCTGAATAGTTGCATAGGCTGCCAAGGTTGAGAGAGAGAGAAAATCTGCTGTGCTAGGGCATTTTTCTATTCCAACAGCTCTAATTAGCAAATAGTAGAGCTGGACTGTTGATTTTTCTTTATGTATTTATATAACCATTCTGAATGATATTTTACCTCCTGCTTCCCAGAAGCTTCTAAAGTGTGTTACAGTTAACAATTTGCAAACAAATTACAACATTTCAAACATCTGACAATGAAACTATGAAATAATTAAAATCCGAATAACTAAGTGTACATATTGTATAACATGTATAGAAAAACAGCACCTGTTAAGGCATATAAAAATTCCTAGAAACAAAGCTGAATGAAAATATTTTATTTCCTTAGTTTTCCCTTCCAGCTTTGAAGTGTTCCTAGCAAACAGAAGGGGAAGAAACGGAAGCAGTGACAGATTTTATTTTTCTTAAATGCCAAGATTACTGCAGATGACAACTGCAGCCATGAAATTAAGATGCTTACTCCTTGGGAGGAAAGCTATGGCAAATCTAGACACTATATTAAAAAGCAGAGACATCACTTTGCCAACAAAGGTCCATATAGTTAAAGCTATAGTTTTTCCAATAGTAATGTATGGCTGTGAGAATTGGACCTTAAGGAAGGTTGAGCGCCAAAGAATTGATGCTTTCAAATTGTGTTGCTGGAGAATTCTCTTGGGAGCCCCTTGGACTGCAAGGAGATCAAAGCAGTCAATCCTAAAGGAAATCAACCCTGACTGTTCTTTGGAAGACAGATACTGAAGCTGAAAGTCAAATACTTTGGCCACCAAATGAGAAGAGAAGACTTATTGGAAAAGGCCCCTGATGTTTGGAAGGATTGAACACAAAAAGAGAAGGGGACTGCAGAGGATAAGATGGTTAAATAGTGTCATTGATGCAATGAGCATGAATTTGGGCAAACACTAGGAGACTGTGGAGAACAGGAGGCAGTGGTGGGATTCAGCCAGTTCGCACCAGTTCAGCAGAACCGGTAGCTAATTTTTTGTTGCCCAGGCCCAGAATGGACTTCCAAAGAGGCATCCACATAGAGAACCGGTTGTTCACATATTTGAATCCCATCACTGACAGGAGGGCCTCGTGTGCTGTGTTCCATGGGGTCATGAAGAGTCAGACATGATTTTGCAACTGAACAACAACAAGTTTTACCTATTTAAAGTTTTAAAGTTTCCCTTGTCCAGGTTTTCCCTGACTACCCCAACTCATGGGGATGGTGCTAATCTGCAGTTCTCAGCCAAGGGAGTCTCTGTTGTCTGAGAGACATTTCCATCATTATGTGACCAGCATGAAAATATAGAATGCAGTAACCTTCCCGCCAAAGCGGTACCTATTTATCTACTCACATTTGCATGCTTTAGAAATGCTAGGTTGGCAGGAGCTGGGCTGAGTAACAGGAACTCAACCCATTGCACAGTGCTCAAATTTCAAACCCAGGCTGTCAGCTTTCCAGCTGACAAGCTCAGCGTCTTAACCACTGAGCCATTGCACCCCCTTTTCCCTTATCTGCATATCATCAAAAAGAGAACAACAGCAAAATAACAGTTAAGAGGTCTAATTGCAGATGATCTTACAGGAGATTATGGTGCTTGATACCTTGAAGGGTCTGGTACTAACAATAACAATTAACTCTCTTTTAATGTCAATGGATGGGAATGGATGAATAGGCCTTATGTACAATTTTTCTGTAAAATTCAAAGCTTGGGAATTTATGAGATGATAATTCTTTCACATTGCATTTCTGCTATGAGAGATTTAAGCGGAGTAGAATGCCATGGGCTTTGATAAAGCTCCCAGAAAGAGTTGGGTCAGAGACAACTAAAGCTGTTTCTGTGCCATACAGGAAACTGTTCTTGATGAGAAGAATTAAATATTAACCTCATGGTCTATCTTGTTTCCAGTTTGCAAACTCATCAATATTGAACCCCCTGAGAGCATGACCTAAAGTCTTTTACCTTAACAGACATTAACCAGCTTTGATCGACTCAGCCCTGAAAGCTGAAGGTTTGAATATTTAAAATTACATCAAGCTTTCTGCAAACATTAAGGGTTGACTCTTAGCAAGCAGTTCTAGGATGTGACATTTAAAGTGGCTGGGCTGGTTCCACCTTCTTTTTCAAAGGCCAGCTTATCACAAGAACAATACATCAAAATGGAAACCAACCCCCATCACCAATAAGGTCATTGTGACACAGGTGACATTAAAGAATTGCAAGAGAGATTCTGATATCGCTTAATTGCTATGGTATTTCCAAAGAGATATTGATCATCTGCATAGTTTGAAATATATCCATGGTAGATCCATCAATTTTGCTCAGTTTTTCATTTTTCCAACATTATGTTTGTACAGCTCATTTTGGCATCAGGTTACAGGATTTGCTTTTAAAGCTGTGCATTTAAGTATTACATGTGCATTATGGACTTCAGCACTTAGTGCTCAAAGTCTTGGGTTTCTGTCAGCAGATAGGACATTTTGACCAACAGTTTTCTTTACCTAGTGGCTGCTTGAATAACCAATTCATGCCAATTTTTCTTGTACTGTAGTTCTGCATACTTGCAAGGTGGGAATTGTGGTTCTCAGGCTGGAGATGACCATTTTGTAAACAGGCAACAATCTCACAGTTTTAAGGCACCAAGTGCAGACAAACTAATCATTAACTATGGAGGAAGGATATTTGCCTAAAACACTGGAAGTATAAAACTGTTGCATACTATGGTATGTAGTTTCATTCTTATCTGCAATGCAGACTCTAACCTAGCCATACCACATCTGTCAGTCTCCTGCCATGTCTGAGTACAGATAGTCCTTGACTTAACAACAGTTCATTTACTGACTGTTCAAAGTGACAGTGACTCTGAAAAAAGTAACTTATGACCATTTTTCACGCTTATGACTGTTGCAGCATTCCCACAGTCAAGTGATCTAAACTCAGATGTTGGCAACTGATTCACATTTATGACTGTTGCAGTGTCCTGATTCCCTTTTTTGACCTTCTGACAAGCAAAGTCAATGGGGAAGCCTGATTCACTTAACAACTGTGTTACTTGACAAATGCAATGATTCGCTTAGCAACTGTGGCAAGACAGATTGTAAAATGGGACAAAATCCACTTAACAAATGTCTCCCTCAGCAACAGAAATTTTGGGCTGAATTGTGGTCATAAGTTGAAAACTATCTACATGTCTAACCCAGGGATATCCAACTTTGGCAACTTTATGACTTGTGGACTTCAATTCCTAGAATTACTCAACCATATGGCTGGCTGAGGAATTCTGTGAGTTGAAGTTCACAAATGGTAAAGATGCGAAGGCTGGAGATCCCTGATCTAAGCTATGATACGGCAAGGCTTTGCCTTGATTTGTAAACCTAAGGAATGTGAAAATGCTATAATATTAAATCTGTCCATCTAGTTCATGTAGTTTAATCCTATCTACACTGATGGCCAATGTATGCCCAGGATTTCAGACAAGAATTCTCATTACTTATGAAATATTAAAGATTGACTGCATTAAAATTATGGCCTCAAACACTCCCTAGAAATCATCCCAGCCCGTTAGAGACTTAAGGCAGAGATTTGAATGGATTCATTCACTCCATGAAGTCCCCTAGGCAGTAGTCCATGTTATCTTAAATTGGACATGACTACAGCAAGGAGGTGATAGAAATCCATGTAACATTTTGAGACATAGCCAAGATCTAACATAAGACCACCTATATGTTTTGGGCTGCAGATTATTTGAGATTAGGTCATGGTCATCTGTAGGCAATGAACTCCTGGGCCTTACAAGACCCAGACATCAAGAAATAGAGAGTGAAATTCCTTACCACCAAAACATTGTAGGGGGCTCTACCGGCTGTTTAAAAATCAAAACTCAGGAGACCATAAGAAATTTCAATGGGCAACAGGAGAGCCAGAACACCAGCTAGATTATCAGCTTGTCTCTATGACCCAGTTTCCCATCATCTCCAGTTCTTCAGGAACATGATCTTAGAAAGTACGTTGCTGATAATCAGGGCCACTCCATTAATTAATTTACTGGCAATTATTTTCAACTAGTATTTATGTCAGAAATTGTAATGTAACTTCTGGCAGATTTATTTACATATCTACATATTCATATGGTGGGGGGACTCTTGGACTTGTTTCTGATGTCATGGCAACTCAAGTTGACATGGTGGAGAGTTTTGGGAATGGCACAGAAGTGTATGTTTTTTCTTACCTTCACTTCTTTTGCAGTGGTGGGGATGTATCTCAAATTCAGGTTCCTCTCCTTTTGGATAGGGTTAGGATCATATGATATATGACCACAATTTGCCTTTGGAATGGGCAGAAACCCTGGGTTTATATTAAAAAAAAATAAAACAGTGATCTTCCTGGATATTAAATGAAGAGTCAGCACATATCTAGGTTGCACATATAGAAGTCACCAGTACGTGTACCACTGCAGAGTTACTTAAAAGTCCAGAAGATTGGAGGAAGAAGTAAAATTATTATTTTTTCACTCTCTTTGCATCTCTTTCCAGATTTTTTGATTAAACACATAAAATTTTGAGTTTATTGTACTGTATTGTATAATATGAGATGTGGTGATGCAGTGGTTAGAATGCAGTATTGCAGGCTAAGTCTGCTGACTGCCAGCACTTCGATTCTTACCGGCTCAGGTTTGACTCATCCATCTATCCTTCCAAGATCGGTAAAATGAAATCGCTTAGAGAGGATTGTAAAGCACTGTGAAGCAGTATATAAGTCTAAGTGCTATTGCTATTGCTGTATGTACAGATTACATTTTTGAAATCCTGTCTTTTAACTCCACCCAAATACAAAATATTTAAATAATTGCTTTGCTACCCGGAGGAATCATAGTGATTTTGTTTTTCCTTTGTTTTCAGAAGGAGGAACATGTGAAGTTATAGCAGCACACAGATGTTGTAATAAGAATCGAATTGAGGAGAGATCACAGACAGTAAAGTGTTCCTGTCTACCAGGGAAAGTGGCTGGGACAACACGAAACAGACCATCATGTGTTGACGGCAAGTAGCTTGTACTGAATGTCATATGAATATGGATAAAATATTATAAATGCAAAGAAGTTTGAAATCAAGAGATCTGTATCAACATTTTAATATTGCTGTTACTTAAGGCTTCCATGCAGAACTGTAAATGAACAAAATGAATTTGGTTAAAACTGTCAAACAGTCTGAATTTTAAAACTTAATCGCAAATACAAAATACAAAGATTTCTGAAAATATGAAGTTGCTATGGAGAAGAAATAAAAGAACTTTGTAAATAGAAATCAGACAGATTCAAAACACTGCCATTTCTTTCATTGTAAGATTTAATTTTAAAAGCCATCAAGGTGAACCAAAAAAACCCCACCTCTTTTTTCCTAAGAGATCTAAAAACTGTATGAGTCAAAGAAAGGAATGCCATAAAATTTGCATTAGCCTGTTCATCACTGTTCAAAAAGCCATTATATTCCCTTTTTTTCTGACTACCATAGCACAATCTACTTCTTTGCATACCATTTTACTGCAATAGTCCTTTCTCCTTATCTTTGCACATTACGCTTATATATTTGAGTTTCTGTACAGACCACAGTATAAAATAGATTGTGTAAACTTGCATATCATGTGCACCAGGAGATTATTATAGTGTATGAAACTCAGGCTGTTTTTACCTAATGAGGTACCACTTTTTACAATATTTTCTGATTCTTGCAGAGGGGATAGTTACTCCCATTGAAATATTAATAAAAAGAAAAAGAGATAATAACAATAACAACAACAACAACAATAATAATAATAATAAAGTTGGAAAGGACTTTGGAAGTCATCTAGTCCAACCCCCTGCTCAGGCAGGAAATCCTATACCATTTCGGACAAATGGCTGTCCAGTGTCTTCTTAAAAACTTCCAATGTTGGAGCATTCACAGTTTCTGGAGGCAGGTTGTTCCACTGGTTAATTGTTCTAACTGTTGGGAAGTTTCTCCTTAGTTCTAGGTTGCTTCTCTCCTTGATCAGTTTCCACCCGTTGCTTCTTGTCCTGCCTTCAGGCATTTTGGAAAATAGCTTGACTCCATCTTCTTTGTGGCAGCCCCTGAGATATTGGAAGTTTCCCTTCTATCCCCTCATCTAAATCATTGACAATATTAAAGAGTCTAAGACAGAGCTTTGAGGTACCCCACTGCATACTTCCTTCCATGTAGATGTAGTTCCATTAAAGAAGGGGTGTCAAACTCGCAACGTCACGTGACGTGTCACAACATATTGCAACTTTGTTGCCATTGCGGGCAATGGGGTGGGTGTGGTTTCACTATGATGCATCCAGCCCGTGGACCGGCAGTTTGACAACCCTGCATTAAGGACTACATGTTGAATGTGGTTGCTCAGCCAGTTATGAATCCATCTGTCTAACCTACATTTTTCTATTTTATCAGGCAGTAGTCTGTAGGTACTTGTGATCTACATTATCAAATACTCTACTGAAGTTCAAATAAATTATGGTCACAGCATTTCACTGATCCTCTAATTTTGTCACTTTGTCAAAGAATGCAAAAATATTTGTCTGGCATGATGTCAGCTTTTAGAATTAAGGAAACTGAAATGCCCAGACCTTTGTCAGTGTTTGAGAAGGTCTAGGTAGGGGGCATCTACAGTGCTGTAAAAGTGCAACATTCTCATGAATAGAAAACAAGTTACAAAAGACATAGAGTTTTGTTGTCCAATAAATAGCTGCTGCTCCCTTCCAGGAGTGGGTTTCTCATTCAGCCTAATAGAATTAGTCCCACTTGAGAGGTCCTTGGTGCTCTCTGAACTTGGATATTTTCTTCCAGATGTTTCATAATCCAAACTAGATAACTAGGAAAACTAATGTAGGTTAGGACTGATGAAGAGAAGGATGAGGGGGGACATAATAGCAGTGTTCCAATATCTCAGGGGCTGCCACAAAGAAGAGGGAGTCAAGCTATTTTCCAAGGCGCCTGAAGGCAGGACAAGAAGCAACGGATGGAAACTAATCAAGGAGAGAAGCAACCTAGAACTAAGGAGAAACTTCCTGACAGTTAGAACAATTAACCAGTGGAACAACCTGCCTCCAGAAGCGGTGAATGCGCCAACACTGGAGGTTTTTAAGAAGAGACTGGACAGCCATTTGTCCGAAATGGTATAGGGTTTCCTGCCTGAGCAGGGGGTTGGATTAGATGACTTCCAAGATCCCTTCCAACTTTACTATTATTATTATTATTAATTTGAATAATGAAAGCTCTGCAAGAAAGCAACTAAGCTCAGAGAGCACCAAGGACTCCTCATTTCATACCTAAACTACAAATATTCTCCTTTATTAATCCTACTTGTAGGTTTAACTACAACTCAGAAGTAATCACAGGATTTAAATTGTGATGCAACTTGCAAAAAACTGAAGACAGGATATGTCGTTTGCATATGGATATTGTTTTTTAATTTCAAAAAGTTCCCTTTGTGTTGCCCTTTGTTTAATTTACCTTGATAGATTAATACCTGAAATATCCGCAGTGGATGAGATCTTTTTTTAGTCACCAGCAAATTTTATCTGACCTTATAATATAATATAAATACTCCAAAAACAGTAGTAGATTATGCTATGTTTTCTTTTCTCTAATTTCAGACTTTCTGTTATCTCTTTTTTGGACATAAAGTCAATTCATAACAGAGCAAGACCATGATCATATAGCTATTTATATTAATTAAGGTTTTTTTTTACAAAACTTGGATATTAATTCAGAGTCACTGAATGAGACCTTTATTATTTATTCCAGCTGACAAAATTAAGTATTTTACAACTCACAGTACAGCTGAACACTATCCCACAATGTTTCTCTTGACTTATTTTTTTAACACGTACACACATATGCACACTGTATTTCCTTTATCAGCTTGATAAATGTTGTTAGACTCCAAAATTATGAAAAGTAATTATTTTGAGTTTTTAAAGTGTGCCTACTTTTTATATGATTCATTCTAATTGCCAAAACAGATATACTTGTAGATTAATAATTAAATTAACTCAAAGATTAAAATAGCGTACAGAAAATAAAAGAAAAGGATTTCCAGGTCTTTTTATGAGAGTATACTAAGGATCAATAATGCATCCTTTCTGTCATTCTTAGGTGCCATGCAAAATTATACAGAATTAAAAATGGTTTCAAGATCAGATCACCAATCTCATAAGACTTCACTGTTCTTGCACGAGACTTTAAATGTAAGGTTGCTGACATTTTCTGAGATGGGATGGTGGTCTCATATAAGATTTAAACCAGAGATAGATAAGAGAGAGAAAGAGAGAGATGAAATATTTTCAGGGAGGTCACCATCTAAACAGTTATTGTTAACTGGAAGATATTCTAGTTGTTGTAGTTCTTAAATAAATATCCAATTTATTATATTAGATATATGTATATTACATTTGCCCAGTGATCAATTGCTCACAAATCAGTCTAACATGGAAATCTTGCCTAGTTTTTGAATTTCATGGAGTTCTCAGCATGTACTTCAAGTAGAGGAATAATGATATGAAGCAAACCGATGGCATGAAGATATTCTAGAGCATCATTTTCCCCAAATGCAACCTCTCTAATCCAACCCTCCTGGTAAGCACAATGTATAACATATACTCTATGCAGAATGCCATGTAGAAGCCTTTCTTCCCTGGTTTTAGAAGACAGTTGGAAGAGCTAAAATGGGGTGAAGCAACTGAATCCTTTTCAGAAGGTGAAGGTATCAAAATAGTGTATTTGGCCCCTATCTCCAAAGAACCTGGTTGTTATTGTTTCTAATTTGGGTGCCTGTAATGCAGGAAACAGAAGAATTTCACCTAAATATATCCTAGCTAGAGTTCAATAATGTGAAATTTGGAGTTAATGAAATGGCATGCACTTAGTTCTGGTAGCTTCTGAGCCAGTCCTTGATAAATAATTTGTATTATATACATACAGTAACTGCTCAATATCAGCATTTGAATCTAAGGGAAATTGCTCACAACCAAAAAGCCAATAGTTTTCTATTTATCTAATATGTACCTTAGATCCTATCAAAGAGCACTTCTCTCTCAACTCCTTAAAACTACTTTCAATCAATTCTTATTTCTACGGAAAGAAAGGAAAATGTTATTTTAAATCTAATGAGTCAGCTTCTCCTCCCTCTAGGTGTGTTCCAGCCTACCTAAGGAGAAATTTCAGGGTTCCTTGTTGTTAATGCAGTATCTGTAGAAATAACGAGCTGGCTGGGTAAATTATTTTTTCACTCTAGGAAAAAAAAATAGAGCCTTTCTTTCTAATGCACCTCTGGAAACTGGACAGCAGATTTTGTGCCTTCTTTTTTCACTATTTCAGGAATTCTGATGGTTTCATTTGTTGAGAGAGGTGCAAGAAGAGACATAAAGTGCATCATTCCACACTCAGATCTATTTAATACCTTCAGACAAGGAGATGCAGAACCTGGAATTTCAGAAGGAAAATGAGTGTACTCATACAGCAATATTCAACATCTGTCTGTTTGCTCAGAATTCTTGGTATTATGTATTTGATCATGTATAACTTCCATGTACATTTTGGCATATTATCTCCATTTGAGAAATGCTACATCTGAAAGGTGTGCTTAGAAAGAAAGAAAATATTTGGCTTGGATCCTTCCCAAGGGTACATTAAATTCAAATATATTTGGACTGATTGTTTGCTTGGTTCAAGAGTGAATTGCAGAATCAGTGAACCTACAGATGTTGCTCTCATTATCGACCATCCTGAGTAAGCTTAATTGAGCAGTTTCAAAGGGCAGAATTCTTTGGCATAAGAATTTTGGCTTTTGCAAATTCTGTGATTAAGAATACCTGCTTTGTAGCTCTTTCATAATTATGTGAAAAGGGGTCAAAAAAAAGGGCAATGGACCATTTGAAGCAGCGTTCAAGCTATCCATCAAAAGAACTTAATTCAAATTCAGAAAAGGGGGAAAGAACTTCCATATGAGAATACTCCCATAAGCAGTGTTGCTAGGGTTTCTG